ATCACGTGACGGGGCTCGAGGCCGGGGCTCCGTCACAAGACCCGCAGCAGACGGAAAGATGGCAAGTCAGAGCCAGGGTGTGCAGCAGCTCCTCGCCGCCGAGAAGAAGGCCGCAGAAAGGGTCGCCGAGGCCAGAAAGCGTAAGGAATGGGTCGTTTTGTGTTAGAAGAGAGATGTGGCGGGTTTTTAGGGGGGAGGGATTAGTGAGGGTTTAGGGTTTTAAAGGAGAAGTGTTTTTGAGGGGTTGGTCTCCTGCGAAGTGTCAAAATGCAGCTTTGAGGTTTCCGATTTTTTTTTACTGTTTTCTGCTTAGGAAGTTATTCGAGGTGATGTTCATATGAGACAAATGCTATTTTAAATATATGGAATTGTTGATTTTACTATTCAGACATCTCGTAAACATTTAGTTGATTTCGTAGCAGTTACCTTTAAAAGTCGATTTCCATTTAACACTAATCGTTTTATTTGACCTTAATGTAAATAGCGATGAAGTCCCCTAATTCCTACGAGCAATTGAATCACATTCTAATTTCACAAACTACCACAAAAGTCGTTGTATGACCCTAACCCAAGGGCCTTTCCCTGAGCCCCTACCCATTGTTATATTTCCCTAGCTGGTGTATACTATTACCCTGTAAACATCATGATAAATCTAGAGAGAAACTGGTTGCAGTAAGATATATAGTTCTGGTAACTTTGGAAATAATGCCTAATACCCATTCTCGTGTGAAGAAATCTAGCACTCATATCGTTCGCAGACAAAGTACAGATAAGATATTGGCCTTGATAGCTCTGGATGGCTTGATAGATTTGGTTATTTTGATATTATCATAATTGTTAACATAAAATTGGGAAGATAGGGTGATTCTTTACAGTATTGACAGAGATGGAGTCCCCATCTCTACGTCACAAAATTTATTCATCAGTCTAAGTTGCTGTGACTGGGTGTTCTCTTTGCACTTCCCGAGAGGAGGGTTGATGGGTTTCTTACATCCAAACACCACTTGGCAAACATGGCTTTCACCTCGGTATGCACAGCAAGATACAGCTGAAACTTGGGAGCACCGAGTAGATTTAGGCTGTGAGCGGCACTTTCTGCATTCTGTCCATGCAGTTGTTTAATTTTTAAATGCAGTCTCAATTAAAAGTAGAAAAGGTTGCTGATTATATAAGTAACTGGTTACTTTCTAGAATTAGTCTGCATCTTGCCCTGTTGGATTTGGCATGCATGTGGACCATAATTGGTGTTTTCCTTGGAGAGAGTGCTCTCTGAGGTAGGATTCACTTTCATGGACTGGTGGGAATCCTGCAGGAGCCTGTGAACGAGTCCCTTCCTGAAATCCCCGAGGCAGTCTCGCTCCAATTGCTTTGTGCACTCATGATGAGAGATCCCCTTCCCCTGACATTTGGCAACAATTTCTGACGAAACGTTCTCATCACCTGCCCCACTACCAAATTTTTTTTCCATGACGAAAGGGTCCTGTAATCCGCCCCATGGCCAAATTTTTTTCATGATAAGACATCCATATCACCCAGATAACAGGTTGGTTAATCTTTACAGTATGGACGCACTGAGGTAGGGCAAATTGAAGAAGATATTCTTGTAGAGGACAAACAATAACCACTAATAACGGAAAAAAAAAATAAAAGAAAGCGACACTCACAGTCCACACAGTGCTGCCGAGTTTTTGCTGTATTTTGCCATGTGTACTGAAGTGATTATATGGGATTATAGGCCCCAAAAAGCTTAAACCCTTTGCTGGGAAGGCAAAATATCCACCACTTCTGTCTGGCAAGATGGAACTTAGATAGGTCCAAATGATTCACCTTGTGAGTGATGTCATAACCTTATTGAGGCTGTCATTCATCAGGGTAACATCACTGCATACTCAGTTCTGAGTTACTGTACAAGATATTGGAGTTGTTGGACATTCATATAGTTATTTATAAATTTTGCTAACCTTTTTTGCTGTATTTGGTTAGTAGACATCAGTAGAGGTCCATTTGATATCTATTTTGATGGACTATAAGATGCAGATCTAGAAATAAAAAAAAAAATAGCATCTGTAAGTCATATTGCATTTGAGCTCTAGAGACTAGTTTGCTCGCTAAATAGGAAAGTAACGCAGTCTCAGGTTTTAGTTAACTAGCATAGGGATAACATTATCTTTATCCTTGAAGTCCTCACTCATTCCCTCTAAAATTCTTCTCACTAAATTTGTCTCTATGTTCACCCAAAATGATTTACTGGAAAATTCTAATTTCAGGCAAAGCACGTCGGTTAAAGCAGGCTAAAGATGAAGCCCAGGCTGAGATTGAAAAATTCAGACAGGAGCGAGAACGTCAATTCAAAGAATATGAAGCTAAGGTGAGTAGTTCATTAAAGTAAGAGAAATCTCACTTGCTGTGGTGTGTATCTTTTTAAAAATTACTTTTTTTTTAGCCCTAAAATGTTTAGACCAGAAAATAAGAACTTAACTCAACCACCACAGGTTTACGTTTTGTCCCCTGTAGATTTTGCTAATATTGTTACATGCTCAGCCAGCTAGGAGTTTATCAGTAGGCCTTAGTGACTGATCCTGATTTCCCCATTCCTTGAATAGGTGGGAAATGTGTTTCTCTTGTTAATGCAATCAATATCAATGCTATTATTATTGTCACTGATGTTATAATTATTAAATTGTCATTTAAATTTAATTTAAAACAATGAAATCATGCAAAAGGCACTTTCCAAAATCAAGGAAAAGGGCAAACAGTTGAGATATGTAAAACTAATAATTGACACTTTGGTGACTAAGCATTTGTAGAGCCATCTATTTGTAAATACAGTAAATAAACTTATATTACAGTGGGCATGGCATTTATTCATCCATGCTGATTGGAAATATTTGTGTCTCTTTGAAGTATTGAAGAGTTTGATAACAAAATTAAAAACTTTTTAAAAAAGTTTTTACTTCATAATCCATTTCATGTGGAGCATTTTGATCATTTCTATCCATTTTTGTCTTTCAGCATCTAGGATCACAGGATGATATTGCCCTAAAGATCAAGAATGACACTCATGTGAAGATTGATGCCATGAACAAGCAGGTTGCCCATAATAAGGATGCCGTAAGTGGAAAGCTGTTTTTTTGTTGTTGTTGTTGTATTGGGCTCCCCTTACTAAAGAGTACATGGAGCAAAAACATTATGGAATTCGACTTATATGAATGACGTTGATCCATAGTTTTTATGTTTGCAAAACTTGTAATAGAAATACTTTTGATGTGATGAACCTCACCAATATACTTTACTCCTCGCAGGTTATTAAGCGCATCTTGCAGCTCGTCAACGACATCAAGCCAGAAATGCACATCAATGCTAAGAAGGAAGAGTGAAGAGAAATTGATCTCTGCTTCTCCGACTTAGACTCCATGATAAGTGTCTAGGAAGACAGATGTCTAGTAGAATATGTGTGTATGTACAATTTGAAGTGAATGTATCTTGTTTGCATCATTCAAGTACTTTTGTTGTGGTTCAGTGGGAGAATCAGGTTTTAAAGAGTAATTTTGAGTATTGTACCATGTCTTTTTTTTTTCTTCTTTTTCTTTGTACATAGATAGCTTTTTCAAGTCTGCTCTCTTTGGTGACATTTCTATTACAAAATTGTGTTGATAGAGAGTTGGGCAAATTTTTTTCCATTCATTACCATGTCCAATGAAAGATAGCACTTTATTTGAGGTTATCCATTCTTAGTAAATCATTTTAAATTTCGTAACATAAATGTTATAACGTAATTGTTGGACTAAGTATTAACAAAGCACAAGTTGGTTGTTGTCTCAAAGTTTTATTTGATCAAGATTAATAATTGTACTTAGTAAGTGCATCACATTCCATGATGTTTTGAATACTCTTCTGGTGTTGTGCAACTTGTTTATAGTGTATAATAAAATATGAGATATTTACCTTGATTTTTTTAGCTCCTTTTTTTTCATACAGAAAACTTTTTTATAAGATTTATATTACTCTAGAGGAGGACATGATTGAAAGTCTTGTAAATATTAGAGAATGTTTACTCCATTCTGTGAACAAATATGTGGCCAAATACAAAGCTTGGCTAAGGACCATCTACAAGTTTTAAAAATAAATAGCTTTTTCACACTTTTGACTAACCTCACAATAGGTCCATATTTATAACAATATAAAACTCCAATCTTTTCTCTAAACTCCAATCTTTCCTCTAAATATTATGGGGGAAAAAATCTTTTCAAAAAGAAATCACTACCACCACTGCTAAAACTTAGAAACCAGTACTTTTAAGCAGTATTCCATATATATAATTTACAGGAAATTAAGACCTTAAGTTTAAGTTATTCCTGACACAAAAGTTGAAGTAAAAATGTAACTACAAACATAGAAAAAAAAGCCTAACTCAATCTATTGATCCCAGAAGTTATATCCTGTTACATAATAAAAGTCTGTATATCAATTTGTCAAAAGTAAATCCAGACAAGAAGAAAAATACATTACAAATTTAACACAAGGTGACTGGAAATTAAAGCCAACACACTGAAAAATAAAAAAAACAAGAAAATGAGGGGCTTTTTTAACTTCACTGATACCGCAAAAGTGAAATGAAAACTACACTATAAATATACAGTTTGTGCAGGGAGAAAAAATCACATCTTTGAGTGTGCTATAATGCTCACATTTTTGTAGCTGGTATGATTAAGACTTCTGATCACTAAAAAGGTACATGAAAAGTAATTTTCTTGTGTTTTCTTTTCACATGCAAGAAAGTTGTAAATGTCTTTGAGTAATGTAACTACTCCAGCAGGGGCAGACACATGCATGCACGTGTACACAGTATTATTTTTATTTGTGTGTACATGCATAAACTAACCACCTTTTTTTAATATAATTCTCTTCTGTATAAATATAACTCTAGTGGCATATGATCTTGACCAGCAGTAGCAATTTTACCAAAAAGATAAATATTCTCTTCTATGCCAGTAATGATTATGCACCATTACACAAATAGATACAAAAGGCAATGCTGATTTGCTTATAAGTAAAGCAATTAGGTTTCACTCCGACATTCTTTTCAGGCTTTACTTTTCAAGTAAATATGCGTCACAGGTTTTGTGGTACAATTGACTTGCAGGCTTCCACTACTGAAGCAAGTTATTTCTTTCCTATCCTTGAAGGGTTTATACTTCCTGTGTCCAAACTGGAAACTAAGTACATGATAGACAGACCCTCCCCTACACCATATTTCTAGAGAGAACCTTATGATAAACTCAAAGATGTGAGGATTTAACCATGTAAGAACCAACAATGTGGGCTGGTTCTGAGGCTTCTATATGGACTAGTGTGTATATAACCAACATATCTATGAATGTTGTGGGAGGACAGGACTGTTGTGATTAGAGGTTAAAAACAATTCCTTTTCAAGGAATGCATTTACTGAGACAGTTTGAGAGCATTTTCATCATTGATTAATAGGTATGGCCTGAGGCTACTATTGTCATGAGGTCATACAATCAAAGTATATAATAAAGATTAATTATGACTATATATGACACCAGACAAATAATGAATACATATGACTATATGAACAAGCATGAAAAAGGCAGCAAAACTAAGTTTACAAATCGAGAGAAAATTGACAAATAATTTATGATTCGTACATTGTGAAACATAGTGTTAGTTAGACAAGAGTGACAAACTTCTTTCAAAATTAACCCTCATTTTAGATTTGCAGATTTACATGCAGGTTTATGTTGCAATATGCTTTCTAGATCAAGTTTGTGACATCACAATAATATGAGGAATGTTTTCCAATATAGTTACCCTATTATGTCAATATATACCATGTCTATGGTCTGTCAAAATTGTCATCTTCTGCGACTTAACGGGCCTCCGCCATGACTCAAGCATGACAACCACTGCCTCTCAGTGTAAAGTCTGGGCATTCGCAACCTCAAGTTGGGCACCCAGTCAGCTTATTACAAATAGTAATAAAAAACAGCATGAAATATAGCACTAATAACAATGACTGAAATAATTTTTTAAAAATGATAATAACAATAACCATAATGATGATAATAATAACAATAATGATATAAAATATACATACTACCAATAATAATTATTATCATCTTTATCATTATTATTATTATTATCATTATTATCACATTTATAATCATAATCATAATAATTCATAATAATAATAATAATAAAAATAGTCAATTATAATAATAATAATAACAGCAAAGACAGTAACAATAATAACAAATATAATCATAAAACCAATAAGAAAAATAAGAAAGAGATAAGACTTATCAATATGAGAATGTATATGAATGAATGAGGATGGCACATATAAATTAAAGTAGTGATGATATGGTGATAATGCTATTACTACCATTACTACTACCATGACAAAAAAAAAAAAAAAGAGGAAAAAAAAAATTGTGATATGAAATAAATGTAAAAATAAGATAAAAAATGAAATCTTTACAAAAATAAAGAAAGAAGAAACAATAAAAAAACACGTAAAGTTAAAAAAGGTAAAAAAGTGATTTAGTGAAGAACCTTTACAAATATCACAATCACATCCACATGAGACAAAATGCAAGAAAAGCACACATAAAAAAAGGGCATTTATCTTCGTAAATGCATCTAAAAAAAACACAACCAAGTTTTGATGAAGAAAAACAAAAGATTAGGCATTACAGATATCACACAAATGAAATAACAAAAAATAATAATTCTAAGAATATCTTCCAACAGCCTACACATCACAAAATAAACAAAACAATAACATAAAAAAAAAAAAAAAGTTACCACAGGACGTCCTACATCATAGTAAAAGAAATCCGTCCCGCCCTCACGCCTTAATAAATGAGAACAATATTGGTCGGCTGATTATAAGCCAGGAGGATTGGAAGATGCAGCAGGAGGGAAAAGGACGAGGAGTCAATTTCCCGCGACACCCTCAGCCAGTTTCTCAGGTATTCCGTCATGGCTTCGGTGCTCATGTTAGCAGCATTCAAACCTCTCATGAAAAGGCACTGTGAAAGACGAGAAACAAGGATAAATCACTTGAGAACGCCAATGGAAGTATATAACAAACTGGAGGCATTATTATTTAACCCTTAAACACTATGCTTTAAGCTTCTCATCCTTTCCCTGTGGCCACAGACAATTAGTAGATGTGCTTCTGACTGATGCCTGGTCACTTCTTCATATATTTTGCAGGTATAAAATCATCATCATCATAATAATAAAAACAACAACAACAACAATTGCAACATTAACAACAATACCAATCATGATAAACTTACATGCTTCAACTGTTCGTGCGAGAGCGAGTCAATCCCTTCTCTAGAAATAGCAGAATCAAGGTAATGCAGCTGCCTTGCATAGTCCTCTAGCCTCTTCCGTTTAAGAAAGTAAACTGACCTACCATGCAGTCGCAGCAATCCCTCTCTGAAAATTGCAAGCTAAAGGTTAGAAACAGTATCACCGATGAATATGTGTAGAATGTAGAATCTATCTGGATGTATTCATTCAATCTACATGAGATTTGTGCTCTAGCTTTGTTTTACCAAACCTAATTTACAAAAGTTCATGACACATCAGAAAAAAAAAAAAAAAAAATTGTTGAGCTTAGTTTGGATATGTGTGTCTTCAAGATCAAACTGAATGCTATCACTGCACACACAATTATAAAAGAATCTAAACAACTGATCACTTGCCTATATTAGTTCAGCAACAACAAAATTTGTTCTTCCTCTTCCTGTATAATATGATATATATTATACATAAATATTCCCAGTTCCATAAACGAAGGGATTCACAACCTAAATCTAAAACAACCCTAGCCTAGTGTATCAAAACAACAAATTGAAATATATCAGTACATTTACAATAAATCAACTTAATAACAAACAGACACTGCAAATGCTCTCTAGATATATTTAGATTTCACCTTCTTGCCCCCTGCAATGCTCTTCAATTACTCATCAATTTGTGCACTTAGCATCCAGCATTTAACTCATGATAAACAAAAACTTCCTTCTTTGTAACATACATATTTTCTATGTCTGAGCAAGCAGAGACTGCCTAACAGGATATACAAGTCAGTGCAAGAATCATTAACATTAAAGTTAAAGACAGAAAAAACACATACCTCTCACACCCACTCCCTTGCAACCAAAACTTACCAAATGAACGGAATACATTTTCTTAATGTGGAAAGGTGCTCCCTGGAAAAGAGGCAACAGTTCCACAATCTCCCTGACTGTGGGATGAATACCTGAGCCAAGTTTGTAGAAGGCAGCCCTACACTTCTCGCGCATGTTCTTGTCCTCTATAGTGTTCAGCCCAGCTTGTAGGGACCTGGAAAATGGAAGTTTTTTTCCTATATACTTGCACTTTTAATCTTCCTCTTCCCAAATACATCTTACACCTGTGAACTCACATTCAAATCTTACAAATGAGGGACCCTTACCTGAACACAGGCCGATAATTGAACAACCTCTTCTTCATGTCCATGAGGGCAAACTCATGACGCTGCTTAATGTCCCAAAAGTGATGACACAGCAATTGGCGTGGAAACCAATACCTGTATATGAATAGAGAACAATGCTCATATATCTCTGAACTTCTCCCCATTTTCTTATTTCTCTTGTTATCATTGTATCTTTCTCCTTCTTTCTCTAACCACAGTAATCATTTTTCTAGATCTCTTCCTTTCTCTTTATTTACCAATATAACTAATGTTTCTACTTCTTACAGTAAAAAAGACAAAGAAAAAAAAAAAAGGTCCAGTTTCTAATAATCTTCACACTAGAAGGAATACCATCCTCTTTGTCTTCACATAAGAGTCATTACCCTATGGGGAAGGCAAGATTCTGGCCTAAAGGTAAAGATGATAAGGCAATTATAGGAAAGACTCTAATCATGTCTCTTGGCATGTTGTAATACAGCTCCAACTCCCGACGGGTGCAATTTCTTAGCGTGCTGCCAGGAATGCTTAAATACACCAGGACCATCATAAAATCCCTATGAAAAGAAAAAAAACAAACACTGTAACAATATCAACATTATCATTGCAAACAATATTTATTCATATGTAAAGAGCATAGGTCTACAATTTTATCAGTTATTCATACTCCATCTAAAATCAGCAATGTGAACTGTTGACAACTTACTTGAAATCAATGAGGAATTGCTTCAGTCCAACTGAAAATATGCGAAACATATTGAAGGTGTCCGGCATCTCATTCTCTAAAGATTGGTGGAATCTATTCAAGTACCACGTGTACCGATCTAAGAAGTACCGCAGTATTTTCGAGGATATGTTTTGACTACCAACCTTTTTCACCTGTTTTTGTGAGGTCTTTATCATTTGCATGTCCTCAGCTTTGACACTATCCTGATTCTCACTTTGGCTTGGTTCAGCACCAACTACACTCTCTTTGTCACTTGTGGCTTCTTGTTTTTTTTTACTATCTGGACTAGCTGACATATTTTTCACTCGGGTGGTGGATATGTCTCTGACAGACAGCAACTTTGTTTCAGTCTGCCAGTGGAGACTTTGGTACGGGACACACAGAGCCGATCTTCGCATTCTGACTCGATGCCAGAAATACGATGAACATGTGTATGAACTGCTCTGACTAGGGGGACACACACTCTGATTATCTGGCACTCTGTATCTTCCATATTTTTGCCTGGCACTTCCCTGAATGTGTGGCCCATGGTGAATTCCTCTCCACAACACTCCTCTAAAGACACATGGACAATGTTGGGTGTGCATTTTCCATATTTGATCCCTGTAAAATTTAAAAGGAAATTAATAACAGTTACAAAACATAATATCTTATCATTACTGATATATAATTTTCCTTCACTTCAACATGAAAGTTCAGTCTCTTGACCAGAATGTATGGAATATCAAGGTGAAAATACTTAAAACTTTGGTGTTAATCATTATAGTTAATAAGATCAA